GGTTTTTGAACTTTTGCATCAGCCAACTTGAATAATAGTAACAATGACAGTTTAAGAACGACAACAATAACAAAAATAAGGTGGTGTTCGTCATTGGTGAAGGAGTTAAAAGTTGCAGACATTTTGTTATGTTTGTTATTTTAACATCATCATTTCATTTTATTTTTTCAGTAGATAGTTCTTTTCATTTAGTCAGTTCATAGGTGGCTGCCGTTCTGACTGTCTCGTTTCTTTCACATTGTACAACCAGTGAAGCCACAGTTCACTTCATCTGTGCACGCTGTACAGTACAGTTGTTTAATATTAATTACAATTAATAATTGCGCGTGGGTGTGGTTTGTGTGTGCGTGTGCGTATGTGTGTGTTTGTGTGTGGTAGAGTTTGTGATGGTTCCTCTGATACATGCTGTTGAAGTGACATGTTGGAAGCTTTAGAACGTACTTTAAGACCGGAGAAGTTGGAGTTCACACACACACACCGATAATAATATTTAAATTAATTTTCTGCTTTATTTACATTTGGCTAATAATTGGCCAATTGGTAAAAGCGAGTTTAATTTTAGTTGCGTATAACGTTTAGTTGTTTGCAGTCAAATGTAACTGCATAATCATGAATTAATTTGCTGTTGAAAAATTGGACAGAAAGTTGTAATTCGTGTCAAAATCTTTCAACTAATCACTTCATTTATTCACCTGTTTGCATACTTTTCGTAGGAGCATCATCTTTACGTCCTTGTCCTATCGGTGGACAGCACAACAAAACATCTTATAGAAGGCATTCTTTGTAAGCCTCTATATGCATTCATATTCATGTGTCTATTTTCATTCACGAGTTTGGGTTTGCTTTTTTAATAATATGGATGATTTTACCTGAAATGTTGATGATGGTGAAGATGATGATGAGTTAATTTTTCTTTGGTTCATTATTATTTTATTATTTTTCTTGTTTTCCATATTTTATTCACACCTCATACACTACACGCACACGTCTAATAACTTCCATTGCCCACCAATTCATCAACTTCAAGTATCAAATTTTTTATTTTCATCTTTCCACAAATTTAATTGATGCTCCTACCATGCACATTTTCCTTGCAAACGTTTCACGCTAGACCTTCGAACAAATTGAGACCACCATCATGAGCAACCACTGCATCGGGTGAACAGTCGCCACACCAACTACAGCAACAGCCTATGAACAGTTGCAGCATACAGCACGCAAACTAGTGCACAGCATCCTATCGACAATTAGGTGCAACCTCACAGAAGCACTCGAGCGAAACAACAGCGCAAAGACCAGCATAAAAGAGAAGAACACAGCCCCTCGACACACCACCATGATGGATTACGACGTGAACCCCAAGTTGGAGCCACCAGACAGTCCGATGTCGCAGGACCGCTTCAGTCCTGAATATGACATCTCATCTTCGGAGAATTCGATGTGGAGTCACAACTGCAGCAGCAACATCAACCACAGTGTCAACCACAGCAGAGATTCAACCGGCACACCGACAGTGGCCACAAAGACGGTGAACAGTCTTCTAAACAACTCAACGGCGTCCGTCTTTGATAACGATTGTGATGATTATGCAAAAGAAGGTTGGTGCAGATATGTTTGTTTACATCTAATGAATATGTACAATTGTACATATGTAAATATGTCTCACTGAATATGCAATCAGGTCTGTGGACACATCTAACGAACTTTTAATATGCAATTATGCCTTTGCATATGTAAATATGTAAATTTGTAAACATTTTCAATGCTTAAATAAGTTCAAATATGAAGTGTTTGTACGTTGCACCTTGCTGTTTGGCATACAGCAATTATGGAAATGTCATGCCTGCTGGAGCAGATGTATGCCTGACGTTCGCTCGTTCTCTTTTATTTGTGTTGGGATTATATTTTTTATGGTGTTTAAGTTCATGTTGTCTGAAACGTTTATGTGGTGCATGTTGTTTATGTGGTGCATGTTGTTTATGTGGTGCATGTTGTTTATGTGGTTGGTGTATGTTGTTTACATGCTGCATATTGTTTATTTGTTGCAGAGTTGTATGTCGATCATTTATTTGTTTATTCTCTACGCTTAACCGTTTCCATGAGAAATTAATTGCATCTATGTTTAGATTCAGATAAATTTTCTCTGCAATGATTGGTGGGCCACCTCCAATCAAAAGCATATGTGGCCTTCATATCATATTTAAAATGAGGGCTGTTTAGACAAGCCATGCTGTTCTATCATTCGCTGAGTTCCAAATTTTTTGTAGACCAATGAATGAATAGGTAAGGGAGGGAGTGAGCGAATGAATGAGTGAATGAATGAATGAATGAATGAATGAATGAATGAATGAATGAATAAGTGTTGCACGAGACAGCATGAAAATCACAAGCTCTACATCTGAAAGTGTTTGCTGCCAGTTTATTATTGGTTCTTAACGAATTGGGGCATGGAGCGTGATCTACTTCGGGTTGTTCATTAAGAAAATGATGGTGATGAAGTGATAATAACCAAATTTATGAAAATAAACTCAATGCCTTACCTATATAACGGTAGCTACACACACACTCACACAAACACACACACCACACAAACACACACACCACACAAACTCATGCACACACACGCACCCATAAGCTCACAGACGCACACACATTGTTGCCTGGAAAGCATGCATCTAATCACTGAGCACATTTAAGCATACGACATTTCCTGAGAAGCAGTTACAATTGCTAGGGAAGCTGTTACTATAGGTGCAGTGCATATCATGTGCTCCATGGGTGCCTCCTCTGTACACATTCATATGCGTGAGGTGTGCACTCATATTCCCATGCATGTACAATCTTCAAATGTCTTTCTATTGGTTTGCACTTGCATCTGTCTGTCCGTCCGTCGTGCACTTGCATGCATTTGCATGAGGGAGCGTGCCGGCCACGTTTGTCAGCCACTTGAAGTCTGACAGGGACAATGATGTGATTATGATGCGATGATGATGTGCTGATGGTGGGATGGTTATGATGAAGATATGATGGTCAAGTATTTTTCCACATATCTTGGGTATGAAAAACCCTCATCAGGATGTAGGGCAGCACGTGTTGCATTGTTATATTGCGGCACTCCCATCCAGCCTCACACCTCAGCGAACGACACTCAAGATCAACTGAATGTTATTTCCTCCACTGAATACTTAATTCATTTCATTTGAACGTTCCAACCGAATATGACTGCTCTTGTCTCATAGCTGTCGAATAATTAATGAACAGATAGGCGATGTTCGCTTAAATCCGCATGTTTTTTTATGAAGTTCATATGTATCGTGTCGCAGGACTTGTACAGCGTCTCCCACGAAGTGACTTCAGACGCGTTCTCTTCAGTTAGGAGGTTGATTAAATGACTTTTTAGACGCTTTTTAAAGTCACTTCGACTTGTGATATTGAATTTCTTCAGATCAGCTGGTAACGAGTTCCAAGTTTGTGCAGCTGATACAGAAAATCTTCCTTTTTCAAACTGTGAAGATTTGAATTTTGGAACTACAAGATCACTGGGGTGGATGATCGCTGTCGACTCCTGGGTTGAGTTTCTGAGACTGGTTGGATCTGCTCCCTCAGGTAGGTTGGGATTGGAACACCTCGGCCAAACAATCTGCTGCTAAAAAATTAAAATTTGTTTTGTTTTAATCAAATGGGTCTTTAGTTAAAATGCGACATGTACAGATAATAATTTAATACCTGCCAATTATATTATATCCAGTCTTAACGACATATCCATTCTACCTGACTCTGTCTTCTCATGCTAATTTAACCCGTTGTTCTACCTGTTTATGCATATTTGCCTCCTATATCTTTGTATTGTTTTGTCTGTTCTCATAGTGAAAACGCTCGAATAACCGAATGTCAAACTTTTGCAGACCAGGCCGAACATTCGGTGCGTCTCTCTCTCTCTCTCTCTAGTGCATTTACATATTCGTGTGTGTGTGTGTGTTTGTATGGTGAGTTGTGTGTGTGTTGTTTGTATGTGAGTGTGTGTTTGTATGTGTGTGTGTTGTTTGTATATGAGTGTGTGTTTGTATGTGTGTATTTTTTGTATGTGTGTGTGTGTGTGTGTTGTTTGTATGTGCAGGTCTTACCGATGGTGGTATGCGATAGTTTTTGAGTTTTGTATGGGTAGCATTTGAACATGGACACTGTTCAATAACAATGCTAGACATGGAACTTCTACCGTCTGGGCTAGCCCACCAAGCAATGTCTTGTATATTTGCGTCATGCATGTTTGCTTCTTCTTGTCACATACCACCATACCAGTATAGATTTGAATGTTGTGGATGTGCTGTAATAATGCAATTAGTGGCTGGGTATTTACAAAGTTAACATTTCGTTTTCATGTAATTGTTTTTAACTGAAATGATTATGCAAATCCTGTTGCTGCTGCTGTTTGCCTGTTATTGTTGATGTTAATGTTGTTGTTGATGTTGTTGATGATGTTGTTGATGATGTTGTTGATGTTGATGTTGTTGATGATGTTGTTGTTATTGATGTTTTTGTTGATGTTGTTGTTATTATTGTTGTTGTTATTGTTCTGTGAGATGCCTAACAAAACAAACATCATCCTCATCATCATCATCATCACCATCATCTTTTAATTGATCTAGTCTGATGGAGACTTCTAATAAAGTCATCAACAAACAATCCTTAGATTAATTGCTACTACTAAAACCCATCCTTACCAAATTTTTTTGATATGTATTTATTGTTCATTTTAGACATATTTATTGCCTAATTGAGACATTTTCATTTTTTAATTTACTCATCTTATGAACCAATCCTACAACTCGTTTCTGCCTGTTACAACTTCTTGGTAATTAACTGATAAGCAATTCCAAGTTTTTTTAACCTATTAAAATGTATAGAAAGTGTAAAAACTTATCAAAATAAAATTTCTTCTAATGAATGAATGAATGAATGAATGAATGAATGAATGAATGAATGAATGAATGAATGAATTGATGAACTTACTGAGAAAGACGGATGCATGTACCACAAACAACACTGCAGGCATTCGAAGGTTGTGTCTGGTTTGTGGGGACGTGGCGTCGGGCCTGCACTACGGGGTGGCCTCCTGCGAAGCTTGCAAAGCCTTCTTCAAGAGGACCATACAGGGTTGGAACTTTTTTTTTCATTTTTACGATTTCTCGTTTTTGTTTGTTAAAATTCAAATTCAAATTTGTTTTAAAATAATTTTGTATATATTATTATCGTTGTACTGTTGCATCCACGTATCTTTCCACTGGACCAGTGTTTGGTTAGGTGACTGTTGACTGTTGTTTATGTCCAGACAGACATGTGTCCATCAGTTATTGACCTCCATGCAACATTTCAACTGATCAATCCATCCCGAGCCATTTCATGTTACAAGTTAATCGAACATCTGCATGCATCGTCATTTTGCATCTGTACTTTAAAATTTCTCTTGGAAGGTTTTACTGACATTCAATTCAATTCAATGAACAGCTTCCTCCATATGCAGAAGAAAACCAATCAATCAACTTGGGCGCATTCAGTTTTTAACCTGCTTTTAATAAATCCAAAAATGAGAATAATTTTTTTTTTGATAAAATGAAATGCAAGCATCTTAAAATAATTTTCCATAAAATAGGAAGATCCTTTTTAGCTGGTAACATTACTTTTGATGCAGTTCAATTTAATGTTGCTGTTTATCATCTGCATTGTGCACATCCGTTGGTTTGAAGGTGTGAGTGTTAGGAGTATGTGTATGTCTAGGTGTGTGGGCTTGAGTTTGCTTGTGTCAGGTGAGATTTTAATGTGTCCATATCTTTGGCTTTGTTGGTTGGCTGGCTGGTTGGTTGGCTGGCTGGTTAGTTGGCTGGCTGATTGGTTGGCTGGCTGATTGGTTGGCTGGCTGATTAGTTGGCTGGCTGATTGGTTGGCTGGCTGGTTAGTTGGCTGGCTGATTGGTTGGTTGGCTGGTTGTTTTATTCTTGCATGATGTGTCTGAAGTAGCTTTCTCTAATTAATTTGTTTGTTTGTTTATTCATTTATTTGTTTGGACTTCTTGTTTTAATATTTTTTGTTTACACACTCACATATTCATTGATTTCATTATTTAGTTGATTGTTGTTGTTGTTGTGTTGTGTTTTTACTGTTGTTGTTGTTGTTTATGCCTGCCTCCATTTAATAATTATTAATTCCTAGCTACTTCTAAATGAGCATGACACGACAGCTTGCACTTGCTTGCTGCTTATGTATGACCTGGGCAGGTCATGTTATGTTAGGTTCGGCTGGACTGCTGCTTATTGTCGGGTCGGATGGAATGCTTCAGCCTGCATCGAGAACAAAACAACTGAACGTTGTTACTTCTTCTGCGTTACATAATTTCTTCATAGCAGTTTAAAAATAACTTGAAATCAGGCAGACCGACAGACAAACAAACAACGGAAATTATTTTTTATGAAAGTTCATTACCCTCTCATCTACCATAAAATGGATTCCTCATAAATCTTCCATGCCTACCATGATGATGATAACGATGAGGATGGCGATGATTATGATGGTGGTGATGGTTTTTAAAATGAAACAGAAAAATAATTTTTGATTGTTTTCGGAATAATATTCCTCTATTTGATCGTTGTTGTGCACGGTGGAATGTTGTGCCATGAGACTGTTTGCAGGCTGACAACCTGAATGAACTTTATATTTCATTTCTTTCCACAAGTTACTCAGCTGGTCGCCTTTCCATCATGTAGGTACTGTCGATCACAGTTTTATGTTAAATAAATCATCCTCATCATCATCTTTACCATTCTCCAGTCCGTCTTCTTCGCCATCATCATCACCACCACCGCCCTGTTCAATACAGCAACATCAGCAAACTCACAGAAGTAACTCACCCCCTCTCCCTTCCTCCCATCAGATTATTTGTTTTTGTTTACTTTTTGACATCTGATATCACGTGATGTTGTGATGGTGGTGTTGTGATGCTTGTTAGTGCAATGCTATGCTAGAGCGTTCTGCTGACTGGAAAATGTAATGTAATAGTGTAATGTAGAGTAATATATTGTAAGTTGAAGTAATGCTAGGTAATGTAATGTAATGTAGTGTAATGGAATGTAATGTAAGGTAGTGTAATGGAATGTAATGTAAGGTAGTGTAATGGAATGGAATGGAATGTAATGGAATGCATGAATATATTGTAAGGTAATTTAATGCAATGTACTGTACAGTTAAGTCAGGTAGTGTAATGTAATGGAATCTAATGTAGGGTACCATAATGTAACACGGTGGGCAGTAATGCAGTATAAAGTAATGTAACATAAGGTAATGTAATGAAGCTGACCATTACACTAATGCAGCAGCATGTTTCGATCTAATTGGTTTATTGTGCTTGTGATGGCTGGCGATGCAAGTTCAGTGGAGGCTTTGGAGGATTTTGTGGTCCTCCTAAAATCTGCAACTGAAGTTCTTATATAAGTTTTGTTGTTGTTGTTGTTGCTGCTGTTTGTGGCGGGCAGCAGTTATATACGTGGTGGGGGTAGTAGCAGTAGCAGTAGTAATAGTAGTAGTAGTAATATTAGCAGCTATTGTCGCTGTAGTAATTGTGACGTTTGTGGGTACAAGGATGATGATTATGATGACGGTGCTGATGATGACCACGACGATGATAGCAGTAATTTTCCAGGGAATTCTTCATATACAGATTTTTAACTTGCCGACAAGCTCCCATAATGATTGATTATACTTTTTACAACTGCGTAAGTGTGCGTGTGTGTGCGTGTGCGTGTCTATGTTTTTTCTGTTCACCAGCAAATCGTTTGCAAATGTTTTCCAGAAGCTCTGCCAAGTGAAACGTTGTGTGTGCTCTTGGAAGTTTCACCAAAATCGAACACTGTATGTATAGGTTTAGACAGATTTGCCTCAATGATTCATGAAAAATTACATTGGGAATGTTGGGATTGTTACAAAGCAAACATTTCAATGCGTCGTTATTAACGTGGGAATGATGACATCTTTATTGGGTTTAGTTTTTTTTGTCTCAAGAAATGATGGATTGCATTGGGTAGTTGAAATGAATGAATGAAAGTCAGATTATGTGCAGCTATTAGGAGTTCTCGCCTTCCCGCTCCTTACACGTCATCTTAATCTCTCCTCACAAAATTATTACGCTGGTCGTCCAACACCATCATCATCACATTCTTCATTTTCATCGCATATCCAACATTACCATCATCATACATCTATATTGCAATAAGATATTCTGTCTTATACAGTGATTTTTATCAACAATTGCATTTCTGACAGTCTTAATCCAATATATATATATATATATATATATATATAGCAAAGTTTATTAGTTGGTGTCGTATTCTTCATCTTTGTTGTTGTCATTTCTTTGTTCTTCATTGTTGTTGAAGTTAGTATTAAGGCATCGAGTTGGTAATGATGTTATCATTCTTTGTTGGATGTTTATCGATATCTTATATATATATATATATATATATATATATATATATATATATATATATATATATATATATATATATATATTAGCCCGAATAAAATTAATAAATATAAGTTTGAAACTAATAGGACCAAAGGTCCGGGACACGGTGATTCCACTTGAGATTAAAGCTCTCAGTCACTTGCATTTGTTTAAATCTAAATTTAACGCTACCTGATTCAGAAAAATACTATTTTCTTGAATTACGAAGTATTTGTTATTATCGATTATATAAAATTATGTTGTTTTTTTTCTATGTACCCTATGTGTTATGTGCATGTATGTGTGTGAGTATGTTTGAATGATAGAATGCGTGTAATGTATGAATGGATCTATGTATAATTTCTTTTGACTTTAATATTCTATCTGATATTATTTGAATTTACTGGATTTAAATAATGTTATTGATTATATGTACTTATTGAATTTTTGTTATCTTTATTGGTTATCTGTGTTTAATAGTTATATAGAAGTGATTATGTTTTGATTATTTTACATTAAATATTATTAAAAATAATGTAAACAGTTGTAATAACTAAAGAATATACTCCCCATGTATCTTTTATTTCAAACTAATTTAATCATTGATTTTTGTTGAACTACTTTAATCTTTAATTTATGTTGATCAATTTTAATTTCATTTGGATAGGGTGACTTCCTACAAGCATTTGGTTGCTTTTTAGTTTACCCCTCTTTTTTAATAAAATAAAATATATATATATATATATATATATATATATATATATATATATATATATATATATATATATATATGTTGGATGGAGACCGTATTTCATACAGTACTGCATGAATTCTTCCGAATTGTTGGCATTAATCAATTTAAAGTTTGTTTTAAACTTTAAAAAATCATTATTGAGAGAAGGTTAACGCCGTGCATCACAATCGGAAATTATCAATTTGGTTTCCTAGCGGGGAAATCAACAATTGATGCAATTCACATCCTTCGGCCACTGCAAGAGAAGTACCTCGCAAAGCATCAACAACTATCACACATTTTTGTAGACCTTGAAAAAGCTTTTGATCAAGTTCCCCGTGAAGCAATCAGGTGGAGTCTACGTCGACAACTCATTCCAGAATATCTTGTTCGACTTGTGATGGAAATTTATACGAATACTAAGACTCTTGTCAGCACAACGGTTGGAAACAAAGATGCATTTGACATCGGCGTTGGAGTTCACCAAGACTCGATACTCAGTCCACTGTTATTTATAACTGTGATGGAAGAAATCACAAAACTGATACGCACTGGTGATATTTGGAATCTAATATATGCTGATGATATCGTTTTAACAGCCACGTCTGAGCAGAATGCAGCACAGATGTTTGAAGATTGGAACACCAGACTCGCCGATCATGGATTCAAAGTCAACATCAGCAAAACCAAAGCAATGAACACTGGTGAACCCATCCAATTCACAGCTACTGGACGATGGCCCTGTTCAGTATGTAAAGCTGGTGTAGGTAACAATTCAATCAAGTGTCAGCAGTGTAACCAGTGGTGTCACAAACGTTGTTCAAAAATAATTGGTACTTTATCTAAAGTGTCCAATTTTGTTTGTCCTGCTTGCATCAATCCACAACAACAAATTCAAAATAGCACTGATTTTGAAGCCATTAAAATAGAGAAAGTCACATCGTTTCAATATCTAGGGGATGTTCTGGATTGTACTGGAACAGCTGAAGCTGCCGTTCGAGCACGCATACGTGCAGCCTGGAATAAATGGCATCTCCTTGCCTCTATATTGATGCGGCGTGACATCCCACTACCACTACGATCAAGACTGTGATACGTCCGGTGTTGTTATATGGTGCAGAAACATGGCCAATGACAACCAAACTGGAACAACATGAAAATGCTCCGATGGATGCAACGAATTAGTCTGAAAGACCACATCAAATCTACCGAAATCCTGCGTCGTGCTGGTTTAGATGATATAAAGGACGAATGCCGGCAACACCGTCTGCGGTGGTTTGGTCATGTCAAACGAAGTGGAAACAGTGCCATAACTTCTCTTGCAGATGTTGAAGTACCTGGCACACGTCCCAAAAGCCGTCCAAAGAAGTCCTGGTCACAAACAATCGAGCAAGACATGAAAGCTTTAAATTTAAATGAAATGGATACAACTGATCGTCTAATTTGGCGCAAAAAGTTGATGGCAAAGAAAACAACGTCCTACCTCGGGAAACCGGGTCTCTGGACGAAAAACAAAGATTTATTGAATGCCAACAATTCGGTAGACTATATATATATATAATATATAGTCTACCGTATACTATATAAACTTCATATATATATATATATATATATATATATATATATATATATATATAAGTGCAGATTCTCGTCCCATATCATTATCATTCAAATCATATGCATGTGCATGCTGTGTGTCTTAATTGCAATTGTTTCTTTCCAATGAGTTATTATGATGAATTATTTCTGTAGGTTAATTTTTTAATTTTTTTAATTTGAAAATTTAATTAAAGTTTGCGTTGCTTTGAAGGCGTTTCTACCGTGGTTTTGTTTCTTAACATCTTGTATCGAAATTTGAAGATCACTGAGAATGTTTTCATGTAATGAATATGAGCGCAGTGGCCGAATAACGATTATTCAACTTACCAGTTTCATATCTAACGAATATTTGTTTAGGAGTTGCATATAGATATACACGAATATAATTATTTTTAATTACTCCTACGTGTGTGCGTGTGATTGTGTGTATGCGCGTGCGTGTGTGTGTGTGTGTGTGTTTGTGGGTTTGTGTGAGTAATTCAGAGTAATAATTTATGATGTGACCTTGAGAGATGATTTAGGCAGACAACAACATTTTTGAGTTGTTAGGAGTTTGTAGGCTGGATGAGATGTAGTGGGGGTGGGTGGGAGAATGGGATGGAGTGTGGGTGTTTTGATGGTGGAAGGTGAAATCTCAGTGGCAATGGAAGGATTTGGTGGGATGGACTGTCCGCATGATGAACGCCGACGGCTGCTGACTTGATTGAATTCACGCAGATAATGATAATGATGATGGTGGTGGTGATGGTGATGATGGTGACGATGTTAATGATGATGACGACGATGATGATAATGGTGGCGATGATGATGAATTTACAGTTACTTGTTTATCAGCATCATAAATGTTATCAGCCCAAGAGTGGTGACATGTGAAAGTGTTTTATTGCTTCATTCGTTAGGAATATTTTATCACACTGCCATAGAGCTTCAAGATTGGCTGTGTGATAGGACGGTAATGATAATGATGATGATGATGGTGATAATGATGATGATGGTGATGATGACGGTGAGGCAATAATCACAAGAATTTTTGTGTTGAATTAATTTTGATTGAAGTGATAGTGGTAGAGAAAATGATGATGAGGATGATGATGATGGTGAAGAGAATCTTTTATTAAAATGTTGAAATTTTTCAACAAAAACATTTGAAACGTTATTGCTCCGGAGGTAAATGCTGATAGAAATGATTGAGTCTCGGGTTGAGTAAATGTTTCTAAAGTAACTTGATGTCCTTCAGCTCCTTCCCCTGCATCAAACATTGAAGCCTGCCTGCTAGGTGCCTGAGACCTGAGAGGACCTAATTGGATTGCAGTTACTCAAGAGGAGAAGTGTTCTTCGGTGTGATGATCTCATGGGCGATTGAAAGCGTTGCTGAAATAACGCTGGCGACGATGGCAACAACAAGCCACTTCCTGCTTGATGTAGGTTGTAGAATTCAGTTGGACAGTGATCGACGGGACCAACTCTTTCCTTCACTCTTATGTTGTGGTCAACAAAGTGTGAAAACGAAAAGGTGATGGTTGCTGTGCTGTTATCTGTCGAGTAGCAAGATAGATGCAATAGCAATTTGTCTTAAAAGTAAATTTGAGATGGTTGGTGATGTGAAACTCAATCCAATTTACTCTCATCTTTATATAGATTGAATATCGTGTAGTCAAACTCTTTCGTGTATTATCATCGTCATCTTATTATTTGTGTGCGTGGTGCGTGCGTGCGTGCGTGTGTGGTGTGTGTGTGTGTGTTTGTTTGTTTGTTCAAATGCAAAATTCATTTAGAAATATTTGAATAGTTAATGTTTTATGTTAATATTTTCTTCATTCACGTGTTGTTTTCGTTTATAAACGTTGCCTTACGATTGCGTTCGAATTTCAAAATCAACTTTTGTAAACTTCTTTCTATGTCCGAAAAATTTTAAAATCGTAAATAATAGTTTAATTAAGCTGACCCAGCAAGCAGGCTGTAGATCTTCTGGAGGGCTTCCTTTCTTGAGATGAGTGATTTGTAAGATAGTTCCTCCTCAATTGTGGGAAGCTTCTTTTGTTGGCAAGTTGTATTTTAATTGCATGATTATTTCATTATTTGAAAACTTTATTAAATTATGCACCCGCCAATTTTTATGAAGAAAATTTTAGAATAGAATATGCTAGAATTTCATCAGACAATTCAGACTGACTATTAATTAGCTTATTATGTTCGTATGTACGGAATCATATCATATCTCATTGCCGCATCACCCTCTCACCACCCAACTCAATGCAGTTGTTTCTGGATCGTTCCTTTCTACACTTCCTCAATAGATTGAAATTGATTTGCTGTATTTGCTTGCAAATTAGTTTATAATCACTGGCTTAACTAACAGAAGAGCTAGTTTTAATTTATTTGTGACGATGAAAGTTATAAATTATGAAAGTTTAACGATAATAATTTTTTATTAATCTTTTTCATTGAATTTATTTCTTCGGCTGTTCATTCATTCATTCGTTCATTCATTCGCCATACAAAACAGAATTACTGCCCACAACTACCAATGCACGAATAATTTAAGAAAACGAAATTTTTGGTTTTGTTTAATTTTCAAAAAAAATATGCTCATTAGATGGATCTGTAACTTTTAAAATCTGTAAACATCCTTCAAGGCTGTGTGCGATGTGACGTCATTCGAGATGTCATTCGTGACGTCATTCGTGATGTCATCTTTGACGTCATTCGTGACGTCATTCGTGATGTTGTTTATTTCCATCGCAGTTCCCTCCATCCCACCTTCTCATTTAAAATGTCCTCCACGGTCAACATTGGTTCAATGTTAGTCATCGTCGTCGTCATCATTTTCGATATTTTCAATTTAAGTTGCACATTTTCATGATAACTTGAATGGAAGTATTCATCAAATCGTTCGTTAAAAGTCAAAGTTGAGCATGAGGAATATGATTGAGTTAAATATATATATATTATCTCTTTCTTACTTCCTTATTAAGTAGGTACAAGGAATCTTCATGTATGTCCATGTGTTCATGTGTTGTGTTTATTCATACACATTTGTGTTTGCATCCTTATATGCATTAGTATTTGTTTTGATGGGACGAATTTGTATTCCAAATGCTTCCACGCTGTTCATTTTAATGTTATTTTAATGAGCTTTTAATGCTGTCGGAGGAAGTTCTTCGTGACCCTTTCTATGTGTCAGTGCTTCTTTTCTTTTGTTACTTAAATGTTCAACTGCTTCCTTTCATGGTTTGTTTGAACATTTGAACACAACATAACATAACAAAGTTTAAAGTGGTTCAGTAGATTAGAGTCTGTGTGAGAACCATTGCGAGATAAGTGTCCTAATATCCTAACTCTCCGAGCTTGATCTGGAAACTGTTGGTTGATTCCTCAGAGACAGTCTCATCACTCAGATCATTCCCGGTGTTTACCACTCTACTGCTGAAGAATCTCTGCTTGATGGCACTTTCTGATTTTTGGAGAGCTGCATCTGTGGCCTCGTAATCCTATTCTATTCTCCAGTTGGAAAAATCTCGTAAACGTGTTTCTTCTTCCATGGTAATCAATTTGTATGTCTGTATCAGATCTTCTCTGCATCTTCTTGTTTCCAGTGTTGTCAATCCACATTCTTTCAATCTATCTTCGTATTCAAGATCTTCAAGTCCTCAGATCATCTTTGTTGCTCTCCCCTGTACTTTCCCCAAAATGTCCTACTGACCATTTGATAATTAAAGCCTTTGTTTTTTCAAACAGAATATCTGTATTGGTTTGCCACTGCGCTGTTATTTCGTTACTTCATCAAGTTCCTAATGTCCGCACTGCACTGCACACCTAACTTTCTGATGGGATGGGATGGGAAGTGACGTGATTGTTTTGTAGCGATGCATCTTTGTATCTATGTTCAGACATGAGCAACTTGGTTTGCATATGTGTGTGCTTCTTTCTGTTTCGCAGTGTTATTCCCAAAACTTGTTCCTTCATTGGACCTTAATGATAAAATAGTATGTTGCAATTTTTTTGAACTAAGTATTTCAATTCATGTATCTCTTGTGATTGTTGCTAGCATTCAAAATGCCAACCATTTCTCAATATTTTTATTATTATTTACACCTACATTATTTTTTTAGAGACAGAATGAGAGAAGGAGAGAGAGAGAGAGAGAGAGAGAGAGACAGACAGACAGAAACATACTTTTCGTTGTCTTTTATTATGTATTGTTTCCAATGAATGCAGATTGAACTACTCTTTTCTTTAATTTAATTTGCTAAAAATTTTATTCCATGCAATGCATTTTTTCTCTTCAATATTACAAACACTCTTTTCATTGCGTCAGCCCACTTAATAAATTGAAGCATAACGATCATTCAAAGTCTGTTGTGAGTAGCAAGCGAGTTTTTTTTATTGTAATCTGATATTATATATGTTATATAACAGCCGTGCCTCTGATGTAATATATTTGTGATGTGATTGATGTCAGTCAGTTGCGTATGTATACAACTGACCATAGACCACAGGTAGGCGTCAGTTAGCTGGGAAGCCGCAGTGAAGTTGTTTTGTGGAGTCGCTGAATGTTGTTGCAAATAAATTGATTGAAACGAGTTAAACGATTTTCATCTCTCGTACATTAAAGTATGTTTAGGTAAGGAGAAATTGATGGTTTGCATTCCAGGTTGTTTGTTGTGCGTGAATATAAAGCGTTGATTTCACTAACTTTAAAGAAATTTCTTGAGCAGATTTGAGAGGACAGCTGAACGTTGACACCAAGCGAGGACCTGCAAGGACTTGATGCGTGGTCAGATCAAAGGAAAGTTGACAAGTGTTACTTCCTGAACCTGCTGGCTGAAAATAAAAGAAACGAATTAATTGGTTTTCATTCTGCGGAATCAATAAGAAATTTAATTCATTTGGAAGAAACTCAGAAACTATTGCAGTGGTGGTTGAAGAATGATGATGTTGCAGTTCGTCTTTCATTTTCGGTCCTCTCCACTGCAAAGTTTGCCAGTACTTTCGAATGGCAATGATGGTGACGACGACGACGACGATGTTGGTAAAAATGATTTAACTTATGCATAACAATATTTACAGTGGCACAGTGTACGTCGTAAATAAACAAACAACGCATACACACACACACAGCTCACACACAGCACACATGCAGGCAGACATACTTAACTAATGAATACAATGTTACAAAGGTGCATATGAAGATACTTACATTTTGAACTTCTACTACTGCGGCTTAAATTTATTTATTATTGTTTTTATTTATTTTTCTAAATTTTTAGAAATGGCTTTTATGTTGGATGTTTTACAGTATTATTTATTCATTGAATCATTCTTTTTGTTATCTTTCTCTGATAAATGTTTCTAGGTTTGTAGTTCATTTTAATATTTGTTTATGCTAGTTTGTTTGTGTGTGTGTGTTTTTTTGTTTGTTTATGTTTTGTTAATTCGTTTGTTTATGATAGTTAATTAATTTGTTTGTTTGCTTGTCTGTCTGTGTGTGTCTATCTGTCTGTCTGTTTTTTTGTTTGTGATAGTACATCAAATTTTTTATAATTTCTCGTTCAATTAAGTTCAATAAATTTTTCTATTTTTATTATTTGGTTAAAAATTCCTCACCAATTTATTTTTCTGTAATTTGTCGCTCTGTTTTCCTGCCTCATGCTATCAGTTTCAGTGTTGTTGGCTGTTTCGTTGTCTGCTTATTCGTTCGTTTGTTGAAGCCTATAATCCTACATTATTTTTATTTAGTGGGCGATGAAGAGGATGAAGTAGCTATGTTATGTCTTTGTGATGTATTTATTACGTTTTACTGAGCATGTATGTGTGTTATATTTTTTATGTGTTTATGTATGTTTGTTTGTTTGTTCGCTTGTATGTATGTGTGTGTGTGTATCTGTGAGTATGTGTATGTTTATGTGTTGTGTGTGTGTGTGTTTTATTCATTCATTCATTCATGCATTCAGTTTTATATCCATGCATGCACCCATTCATTTTTAAGTCTTTCCATTTTCTTTTCATTCGCTCATTCACCAATCTATCTGTTTCATCATATTTTCATCTATCATTTAATCAGTCTTTTAATTCATTCATTAATCTATTAATCTAGCATTTTTTTTCATTTTCTTTCGTCCATCCATCTTTTGCTGTCTTAACTGTTTGTCCATCCTTGTTTCCATTTTCCCATCTATTAATTTCATTCATTCATTCATTCATTCATTCTTTTTCTTCCCACCCATTCAGTCATAATGCATCTGTTTTAATTACTTTTTTCATTGCTCGTTCATCATTGAAATGCAGATGCAGATGTGTGCGTGTGTGGTACGTTAATGATATAAATAGTGCAAATCAATAGGGTCGTCTGTACGATCGTCATCGTTGAGCTGTTCGTCTGGCGGGTTGTTTAAGTTGATTGCTTGAAAGTTGTCTCGTCTCGTACACTGGCTGGTCCACCATCATATCACGTGTCTCCTTTTATGATGTTACGTAATGTGCAGCGCATGCACTACACAGGCTGGCGAATGTTTATCGATGGAAGCAAGGAGTTAAATTTACAGGCTTGTCTATAAAATTGAGAATAAAAGTACATACATTCAATTAAATTTATAATAATCGGTAGTGTTATTTAGCTATAAATCCGGTTTTCACCGATTCTCTAAGTGATGCGTTCTATTTGACGAATCCGAATATAACCCGAATCTCGGAATTCGTACCCGAATCTCGGAATTCGTACCCGAATATGAATTCGGAATCGTCATATATATATATAATCGTCATATATATATATAATCGTCATATATATATATATATATATATATATATATATGAGCAATAACATCCATATACATGAACATCCAGTCTTATTTTCACATGTCGACAGGGATTTCCTACCAATCAGCTTAGAATTTAACAAATGAAATTCAAATCTAATACAGATCATAAAGGATTAAGTGATATTTCAAACAAATTTTTAATTTGTTTTAAAAATAATTTTGATTCGTTGGATGTTGAGTCACTTTTTTATTTATTTTAGATTTAAGAGTTTTATTTGTACATTTTATTTATTTATTTATTTCTGTGGGTTGTTTGTTCTAACGAATGGTTTCACTGTTAGCAGGTGTTTGTGTCTCTACAGCTGTGCGCACGTGTGGGTACGTCCATTTCATGCAAGGACTCTGTTCTGCCGTTTTCCTCTTGTGTTGCTCTGACTATCATGTCTTGACATTTTGTGCTCGTTAATTTTGTTTATTACCGATGTTTTTCGTCCGTGGTCATCATAATTAACGTACCACGTCACCTAGTCTTGGGTTGCCTCCATCATCACCATTCAACGGCCTAACATGTCTGCGGACATATTCATCCAGATGAGTGCAGTCTGCTCATTCCTCTCATCAACTGGGTGGCTTGTTTATTTTTTCATGTCTTGTAGTTCAAGTTCATTGTCAAGTCTGAATGTAAATCAGTTTTTCCATATTTGCCTAACCTTTTGAACCCACTTGGACTGCAGCAGAACCGGATGGTCCACCACCGCTCCTGAGCCTGGCTGCATAGTTCACATCCTTTCATTCAGTTATCCTCCGCTCTGCATGATCCATCCATCCATCCATCGGGCCGAAGTAGCATTCTCACTACACCTCTCAACAACCAATCTTGGGTCTCTTCTTTACAATTTTTCTGTCCATCAAACAATGTATCTATTTAGTTAACTTGATGTTTCCTTAAATAAATAAATACGCTCACACCACATCCTTAAGGTGTGATGAATTAATAGCAACTTGAACGTTGGAGGGGGGTGAGAGTTTATTATACCACATTTCAAAAAGTAATGGGGGAAGATGCATTTCGAAAATGATTCACTTGATTGAAACTTGATTTTATTATTACTGGTATTCCAAATTTAATCTTCAACTCACTATACTATTTTTTAATAGTAGTTTTTTAATTTTCAAGAACGTTAGCCTACAGGTTTCGATGCATATGCACAGACATTAACACACACACACGCACACACGCGCGCAAACAAACACACACACACTCTTATGTACACAAACCAACAGGAGGCATCGAGTACACGTGTCCAGCAACGAGTTCATGTGAGATCACGAGGTCCAGGAGGAAGGCTTGTCAGGCCTGTCGGTTCCAGAAATGCCTGCAAATGGGCATGCTTAGAGAAGGTTGTGCCTGTGTGTCCGCCTGTCATCTTAGATGTGTACTTGCGTGTTTGTGTGTGTGTGTGTGTGTTCGTATGTACTTTTGTACTTGTTGATGTACTCACCCACCGTCGTACCATCACATCGACCACCACCGACCGCTGAACAGCTGCCACACATCATCTTCAATCTTTATAACTGTCTCTGCAGCACTTCTCTAGCTCCTGCTAATGTGTTTCAAGTGCTGTTATTAATATTTTGTTCGTGTCAACTATCTTTTGGTTTCAATGAATGAATGAATGAATGAATGAATGAATGAATGAATGAATGAATGAATGAATGAATGTGGCTGTCTTCAGATGATTTATGTTAAATGCTAATTCCTTGTTTCGCCATCATGTGCGTGTTCACATCTGTACTTAAACAACATGTGGGAGGTTTTTAAAGGATAGACGAGTGAATGGATGAATGAATGATTGACAGAATGAATCAACTAGTTTCGTAAAAAAAAGAGTAGAAATGAATAAATGAGTATCCGATGGATTGATTACGTGATAACGCACGATGAAATGAAAAATAATGAATGAATAATCGATAAAAAAAATGAATATGCATATTATCATAATAAACGAAGAGACAGTGAATAATAAATGAATGAATGAATGATGGATTGAACATTTGAATGCACGATGGACTAAACGAACGTGAACGTAGGTGTTCGACCGGACCGGGTGAGGGGTGGGCGGCAGAAGTACCGACGCTTGAACGACTCCCCATCTGTCGTCATCAGGGCGTCCAAGCCACCGTCACAGCGCAAACAGTCCACTATAGGTTCGTCACTCGTTTTTTCTTTCATCCGTTCATCCATTTTTTTCTTTCATTCATTCATTCATTCATTCATTCATTCAATTATTTTTATTTTATTGCATCTATTCGTTCATTCATTCATTCATTCGATCATTCATTCATTCAGTTATTTGTATTTTATTGCATCTATTCGTTCATTCATTCGTTCAATCATTCATTCAATCAATCAATCATTCATTCATCCATTCAATTTTTTTATTTCATTGCATTTATTTAATAACATTTGTTCTTTGGTTATTTATATTCATCATTAGGCTACATGAACTATCTATGAATTTTTGAGGAATGAATAAATGAATGAATGAATTAATGAATGAATGAATGAATTCACGGATCAATGAATCATATTTTTTATTAATTTATTTTTTATTTAAATTCGATACTCACGATCTAGTTTGATTCAATCGTTACATTCATTCGCACTTAGACATTCTGTTAGTTGCCTTATTAAAAATGTGTTTCATTTAAAAAAAAACATGATCGGCACTGAAACGTGATATCCAATCAAGAAATTGGATGACATGGTGTTACATTATTCATACACACAGATAATCATGCTAGACCAAGAACAGAAAGTGTTAAAGTATGCAAGACTATTGGTTAGTTGGTTGTTAGCTGGTTGGTTGGCTGGTTCGTTGGTTGTTGGCTGGTTGGTGTGTTGGTTGGTTGGTTGGTTGATGGGTTGGTTAGTTGGTGGTTTGGTTGGTTGGTGGGTTAACTGGCTGTCTGGTTGGTTGGTTGGTTGGTTGGTTGGTCGTTTTTATGTTTATATTAATACTAATTATATTTTTATCATGGAGATTTGGTTATTTTCTAGCCTCACACACTCAATCTTTTTATTGTTTCACATTTTATGAAGGATGATCGAATTCAGTTTCATTTGCGATCAAATCCAGCGGTGCTTCATTTTAAAATATCACTCGTATCATGCATTCACTTTTTAATCGTTTATTTATTCATTCATTCATTCATTTGTATCGTCAATTATTTATCCACTCACACGTAGCGGCGTTCGTTCATGCAGGCATACCTCCTCTCAGCAGTAGTTACTATTTATTAAAATTAAGGCATTACACACAAGCAACACACACACTCACACATTTGTGTCAGTGTGTGTGTGTGTGTGTGTGGTGTATGTGTGTGTGTGTGTGGTGTATGTGTGTGTGTGCGCGCGTGTGTGTGTGTGTAACTTGTCGTCAGGGGTTGTTTGCATTTTTTTTACATGAATTATTACACAGTATTTTGTAGGAGTGCATTGCATATTGTTTGTTGCATCATTCAGTTGAAGTGTCGTTGTGCTGTGCTGTCTGTCGGCATCCTTGTGCTAATTGAATTGCTAATGACCTTCAAGGTCACGCAAGGTCAATTGTATTCTACGCAGTCAACTTCATGCTGAACATAATATGTCTGAGCTGATGCATGCATATATCTGCAATTAACTCCATCCATGCGTACGCATATTTTGGTGGTAGCATCGTTTCGTTAATGGAGATTTTTATATTAGGTAGGTAGGTAGGTAGGTAGGTAGGTAGGTAGGTAGGTAGGTAAGTAGGTAGGTAGGAAGGTAGGTAGATAGGTAGGTAGGTAGGAAGGTAGGTAGGTAGATAGGTAGGATAGGTAGGTAGGTAGATAGGTAGGTAGGAAGGTAGATAGGTAGGTAGGAAGGTAGATAGGTAGGTAGGTAGGTAGATAGGTAGACAGAGGTTAGTTAGTTAGCTAGTTAGTTGGCTAGTTAGTTAGTTAGGTATTTATTTATTTAGTTTGGTAGGTAAATAGATTGTGCTCCTGACGTTGTATAAATTGCATATTAATATTTGTAGGTAGAGAGCGGCATAGATAAATAGGTGGGTGGTTTGGGTATATAGATAGTAAGGTAGGTAAGGTTGGTCGGTATGTAGGAGGTCATTATGTATTTATATTAAAATTAAATTGTGCATTTCTTCAATTGGATTCATGCTTCCTCAGCTATTCAACGCATAATAACAGTCTATCTATCTATCTATCTATCTATCTATCTATCTATCTATCTATCTATCTATCTATCTATCTATCTATCTATCTATCTATCTATCTATCTATCTATCTATCTATCTATCTATCTATCTATCTATCTCTGTATTTGCATGCTCTCTGGTTTGTATTCAATAACTTGTGGCCTTGTTATGTATCGCATTGAAAGGTTCTGCTGGGTTGTATCCACTCTGTGTCTCCCCTCTTGGGTTTTACACGAACATTACACATATCGAAACATCTTTGAATAACGTTTGGTTTCATAAACTATTTCGCTCTCCAATTCAGATTCTTTATTTTCATCTCGATACTGCGGCTGTCACTGCAGAGAAAAAAATGTAGTCTTTTTTAAGAGTTTTAATTAAGTATCAACTTTAACATTGTTTCATCAATCACTTGCACACACGTTTCAGCTTTTTTCCAATCCATCCGCCCTTCAAGAACAAATGCTTAACTTGGTGCTTTTTGAAAATGAAATAAAAACTTGTTTTTTTATACATTTTATTCTCTCTTTTAGGTTCCGAAGATCTTTTTGTTATCGTCAGAGAATTAATTTTAATTCATCGCACTGATACAATGGTTGACTATTTGTTTGTTGTATATATTGATCAATTTAGTTTTTGCTTTGAAAGTTGAAAACTGTAGAAACAGAAAGAGAATGTGGTGCGTGCGTGTTCATACCGCCTGGTGATCTGGTTGGGTCTACTTCGGCGGTTCAATAAGACCAGTCCATCCCGGTGGATGGCATGTTGCATGATGCATACGTTCACTTACTCGCTCATGCATGTGCATATTTGCTTCAAATAGCATGCTGTCAAAAGCCAATTGCAATTTTTTGTGTACATTTCTTCAATTTATTTTGTCTTATCTTTAAATTTCTCAATAATATTTTATATTTTTGTTTCTTGTTATTTTCAAATCCAATTCTGTTGATATTTCGCACAAATATTTCATATATAAACAACAAAAAGTATAATGGTCTCTCATGGCATGATGTCAAATTATTATCTTCCCCAAACACATCCAGCTATGAAGGGGTCCAGAGTATTGAGACTGAAACTTTGCCACCTTGAAATCAGCTTATCATCATAATGATTATTCCGTTTGAAATAGACTTTCAACTCTCACGTTATTATTATTTCTTACGAGCGTAACATGTTACATTGAATCATCTGACCTCTGCAGACAAGTCTTATATAATTATTATTATTATTGCAGTTAGCAAATCATGCGGTTACAATCGGGAGTTAGGTGGGGCGATGTTGCCGATGTTGTTTTTCTAAATTTCTCATCCCTGCTTTATTTACGACGGACGGTTGCCGAACTTTTTTTGCATTAGTTCGTAGATTTATGTTCTTTGTTCTATGGTTCTATGGTGGTAAAAATGTTACAGTCAGTTGTAGCAACTTATAATTGCTCTTTTTAGAAATTTCATGATAAATTAATTTTTTCATTGAGCATAATACAACAAACTGGCTTAAACCGTATATGTTAGTTTAAACTAAATTAAAAGCTGAAACTAAATTATACTACACAAACACGTGTGAGAGTGTGCGCGCGCGCGCGTGTGTGTGTGATTGATTGATAGAAGTAAATAAATATATGTGCAATATATAACTATATAACATTTTATATACATGCAAACATGCTAATGTTTTCAGATGCTGAAAAACATCCTCCAAGAATGTTTGAAAATATTTCTGCGCAGTCAGTGAGATTTTTGTTTTCTTTAAAAGGAAAAGCTTTTATTTGATGTCGGGCTCGTTTTTGTTTCATGTTCTCGCTGTGGGAACATTTGTTTTTTCTAATCTTGCAACAATAACTAAATATGAGTAGGAACTTTGCAGTATGTTCCGGGGTAGTTTCTTTCGTAGAGCCATGCTGCTTTCATTTCAAATGAGATGGACGACCAAGTGACTTAGGTGGATGGATGCATGGGAGTGTGATGTACTCCACGGCCCACGTACCAAGTTGAACGGCTATTAGTGCTGGATGGTGATGATACGAGGTTCTCATAAATTGGTGAGATGGCAAGCGTTGTACATCTTCTCAGTACGGTTGCACTTGTTGCCAATCATTTCAACTTGTTTCAAACAAATCCAGTACAATTGTACTTGTTCCTCTAATGATGGACGGGGTGGAGGGTTTTAATGGTGGAATTTTAAAAGTTATCGTGATTCTTGAAATGTTCATTAAGTTAGCACCACAAGCATTGGATGGGGACATCTTCGGTGAATTCGTTCGGGCTGGTTGCGTGCAGTGGTTGATATTGTTTGAATCCCTAGAGATTAGAATGATAATTCTTCAACATCATCGCAAGAAGCAATACTCCATTCCGCACGATAAGCTGAACCGTTGTACTGAACTAAGCTGAAGTTCCTTAACTATAATAAACATAAAAGTTGAGTAGAAAGTTCCTTGGTGATTGATGGTATCAGCAGCTCTCACAACTCACCAATGTAGAACTTGGTCGCCTGTTCGCCAGCCCGCCTGCCTTTTCACCAGACATCCATGTTGACATCTTCTCACCAGACATCCATGTTGACATCTTCTCACCAGACATCCATGTTGACATCATCTTTTGGCTAAATATTGCAAGTCCGCAAACAGATTGTATGTACCGTTTTATTGGAAATTCATCTTTCGCTGTTATTAATAATTACAATTACTGTTGTCATTTGTTGTTTTGTTTTATTGTTTTGTTGTTGTTGTTGATGTTGTTGTTGTTGCTGCTGCTACCGTTATCATAATTTTTATTTGAAACAATTGGTTCCACATCACACCACATAACATCACATCACACCACATCACACCACAGGTACTGCTACTGACGTGCTCGTATGTACGTACGTACATTCCGTTGTCTTTCTAGCTTGATGGATGGATGGATGGATGAAAGGATGGATGGATGGATGGATGGATGGATGGATGGATGGATGATTGCTAGAGGGATGGGTTAACGCTAGATTAACCAAAGCATGCTGGATGAGTGGACGGACGGATGGATACTTGATGAATGGATGGATACTTGATGAATGGATGGATACTTGATGAATGGATGGATACTTGATGAATGGATGGATACTTGATGAATGGATGGATACTTGATGAATGGATGGATACTTGATAAATGGGTAAAAAATAGATGAATAGATGCTAAAC